AGCTCCAGGAGGCTATGCCATGTTCTTCCTCGCAAGTCAATGGCCTCTCTCGTGTTAGCACTCAGTGTTCACGGCCCTCATTAAGCAAACCACCTTTGGGTCCCTTTTCAATCGTGGTCTGCAAAGTAAGGCACACGTCCTTCATTTCCACTCAGCATGAGGTGTGTGTTGTAGGAGGCCGGGGTTTCTCATCCTAGGGACAACTGACATCTTGGACCAGATAATTCTTTGTTATGGGGCTGTGCTCTGCATCCCTGGCCCCTCCCCACCTAAAGGCCACCAGCACCCCCACCCTCTGTTGTGACAACCAAATATTGCCCATTGTGCCGGGAGAGCAAAAATAGGCCATTGCCCCAGTCACGCACCACTGGATTAAACCAAGCACGATCAATGATTACAGGGAAAACCAAGATGTTACGTGGTTCTACTATTTTTATGTCTCTGAATAGGGAGAAGCCAAAGGGAAAAGGAAAAATCAAGGAAAGAAAAGTAGTAACTGCTTTGAAAAACGAATGACCAGTGACACGAGAAGAAAGGACAAACGATAGAGAAGGCTGTGCAGCAACAGTGGTTTATTCTCAGGTTTGAAAGTCAGGAAAGTAGACACAGCGGGGAAAGGCAAGGGCCGCGGGACACAGCATGGCGTGGAAGAGTCGACAAGAAGACAGGTGACAGGCAGGACTTCCCTCCACGCTCCTCTCTCGGGGACCATCGGAGCCAGGCGGTTACTTACTCTTGTTGTTACCGTTCTCACTGACAAAATCTTCCGCACCATCGGTGTCATCCTCATCATCCCCGGATGAGATGGCATCTGTATGCAAAAGAACATATTCCATGGATGTGTTTTTTTGCAAAGCAAAAAGGCTGCAATTATCTACAACTGAGACCTTCTCCATAGCAAAGTCAACAACCCAGGAACCCTCGCAAAGAGCCTGGGATTGTGTTTAGTTAAGATAGTTTCAATGGCTTAAATATTCCCTCCATGATGACAGTTGGTCTATGTTATGATTCTCAATGTTTTCTGTTTTCACGCTATTTAAACAGGCTATAAAATTGGATATACGAGAATTGGATTTCAAGCTTCAAACAGTATTCAAGCCCCTGACAAATTTACCAATTGTGTAGTGCCCAAAGACTCTCTTTCCAGCACTAACCTTTCAGTATGCGGGTCCCCTTCAAGAAAGAAATTGATCCCTGACAAAACTTAGTCCCTGTGTGGCCCTTGTCATCGTCAACTAACATTCTGAAAGCAGAACTTTAAACTCAGCCACAAAGGGCGCCTGTTCTGTCCTGCTCACTGCACAGAATGAAATCAAGGAGAGAAACTCAAACTTTAATAAACCAATCAGAAATCTTGAGTATCCACATTTCAGTCCTATATTCTAAATGCCAAAGATGTCAGTGGTACCAAAAAAAAAAGAGAAAGAAAAAACCATGTATTTCCTTAAATAAAAGCGTACTATCTTAAGAAAAATGTTACTTTGTGCACAAGAGCTCTGTCATTCTTAATGATTGGCCTTTCTGGTGCACCAGGTCCCAAAGAAGAATTTCAAAAACTATGAAGCTGTGTGCCTGGCATCCAATTAGAGATCTCGCTACCTTTGCACTTGGCCAAAAAAATGTAAATCACATAATGGCTACAGAGAAGAGAGAGCGTAGGGCTCACGGGCCGACTCACCTGTGACATTCACCATGAAGTACCAAGTTTCACTGTCTACAGTCCTAGTGGCAGTACAAGCATAGAGGCCGGAGTCTCTAGGCGTGGCGCCCTTTATCTGCAAGTACTCCCCAATAAGCACTGTCCTATTGTTGGGCCCCAAGTGCACCCCATCCTTAGTCCAACTGATCACGGCGGCATCTTTCAACAGGCAGCGCACCTCTAGCGACTCCCCTGGTGCAGCCACGTACACTTCTGGTTGAGAGATTTGGTATTTGGTTGGTGGCTCTGCAGAAAGGTGGGAGAGAGAAGATGGAGACAGATGGGAAGGAGGGAGAGGAGAGAACGTCCAACAAAGGTCAGTGGAGGCTGCTTATTCCCAGGAGAAGCTGTTCTTGCTTTGCAAATGGCCCCAGCAGGCATCCACCTCTCCCCAAGCCCCAGGAAGTCAGGAAGTATCTGGAACAGCAACCAGAGGTATGATACCCCCAGCAAATCTGTCCTGACTTCGTTTCCACATCCTACAGGGCTTTAGAAACAAACCAAACCATAGCATGGAAGGATATTCCACAAGAAAATGTTTAAATTGATTGCCAAAGTGTGCTTGCACCGTAATACCTGCAAAAATCTGTCATTGTGGTATGTTTTATTTGTAAGAATGCCAAGTTTTTCACATTTGTACGTTAAACGTGACTGAGCATCACACACACATACACTCTTAATTACTTGTGCTAGACTTGGTATGTTGTCCCAAGGCCAAGCTTCTTAAAATGAAATGTCTCAAACTCAAGGAAAACTAAGGGATCCCCTACAAGATTTTTTGCCACCCAGAGTTTTCATGAGCTCTCAGGTTCAGATCAGTACTTTGCGGGTTTAGAGACCTAACTAATTCTGTGCCGGGTGAGCTGAGACCTGCCGTTTTCCTCAAAATGATAAAAGCCTGGAGGCCTTAACACCAAAAACAAAAAGAGCAAAATGCCCAGACAGCTGCAAGGCAGTCTCCACTGCACTTACAGGGGTCCTGAAATGAAGCCGCTGGGTGCTGCGTGCCCCCAACTCCACACGACAAAGTTTTGTCCCACCCTGCTCACCAACTCCCGCCACGCACGTCCCAGGCTTCTCCTGTAGGGACAGTCCTTCCTCCCTCTCTTCCCTGCCATCCACCCTCCAAGGCCCAAATCAAGTAGGGCCCTCTGTGATGGGGGTCACCTTGCATCAGTCACCCTGGGCGGAAGTGCAGTGGCTCCCTCCCCCTCCACCGTACACCTGCCCACTTCGCCAGCGCATGGGATGCGTCACATTCTCATGAACGCATCCCACCTCCCCGAGGAGACACCAAGACCCTAGAGAAAAGGCGTGGGTCTCATGGTTCTCCGTGCTTCCCGCCACCAACCCCATCCTGCTTGGCATACACATGGCCATGTCGAACCAGGTCACAGTCCCCAGATACGCAGCACAGGATGGAACCCACAAGGATCCAACCCACACAACCTCTCCACTGGAGCTGAGGGGAAACCATTGGCGTTTATTAGTAACAGCAGCTGGAGCTGCCGGCTGGAGCGGCCACGAGGGCCCAAGAAGCAGGCTTTCATCCCTCCAGTGAGAAGTGTGAATGGGACCCAGAGTTCCAGGCCTGGAAAATGCAAAGCTTCCCAGCACTGAGACAGCACCAAATCAGGGCAGGATCAAAGGCAACTGTTTTGCCTAGACACCCCTCCGAAGGACAAATCTCCCATAGGAGACTGAAATCAAGTCAATCTGTGTTTCAGTCCCGCTGTGAAAGGGCCACATGCATCAAGGACAAGAAATCCCCTCACCACCACCGTCAACAGCACACGGGAGGCCTGGGGCTTCCCAAAGGGGCATCACCAAAGGCATGCAGGCCAAGCCCCAGATGCCAACTAGCACGTGAACACAAAGAGAGAATCACAACAAAAGGAGGAAAACAGACGCTACATGTAACATGGACAAACGCACCCCAAAGCAAGCAAGGAAAGCCCAGCTGACAGGCAGGTTATGTTTCTAACATTTGTTTTCTCACTCGACAATTATTTACTGCACACCTACTATACACCAAGCCTATTCTGGAAGCTCCGCAGCAAGATGACCCTGCACTTGTGGATCGTCCATTATGGTAGGAATGACAGACAACAGATACAAAATCTATAAAAAATACAGTGTTCTTGCTTAAGCGTTAGGAAGAAGGACACAGCAAGATACGGGCACGTGCACACAGCAGTGGCAGGGGAGGGCTGGTCCTTTGGCAGGAGGTGGCAGGTGATGGCCCGCGGGCCAAGCCAGCCACAGCTTGTTTTTGTAAACAAAGCTTTATTGGAACACGGCCATGCCCATACCTTATTGTCTGGTGCTGCTTTTGTGTGTTACAAGGGCAGAGTTCAGTCGTTGCAACAGAGACCCTGCGGTCTGCAAGCCCTACAATATTTGCCATCTTGCCCCTACGAAATGTGTTTCAGTCCCTGTTGTATAAGACGATCAGAGAGACTTCTCTCAAGAACAGGCATTTGAGCTGAGAAGTGAAGGACAAAGCGAAGTTTAAAAGATGCTGGAGGCCGGGCGCGGTGGCTCAAGCCTGTAATCCCAGCACTTTGGGAGGCCGAGACGGGTGGATCACGAGGTCAGGAGATCGAGACCATCCTGGCTAACACGGTGAAACCCCGTCTCTACTAAAAAATACAAAAAACTAGCCGGGCGAGGTGGCGGGCGCCTGTAGTCCCAGCTACTCGGGAGGCTGAGGTGGGAGAATGGCGTAAACCCGGGAGGCGGAGCTTGCAGTGAGCTGAGATCCGGCCCGGGCTACAGAGGAAGACTCCACCTCAAAAAAAATAAATAAATAAATAAAATAAATAAATAAAAGATGCTGGAAACTTAGTTTGAAGGCTCTTAGAGCAGGCCTCTCAAGGCTGCTTAAGTCAAAATGCAGCTGAACTGAGTGACTAATAGAAATACTTTAAACTATGGAGACCAAACAGAAAAAAGAGAGGAAGAGAAATACGAGAAGGAGAAGAGGGCAGGGATTCAGTCTGGCCCCAAATCTCAGCCCATCTCCCACTCCCAACATCCTAGAGTCACAGATTCACTCAACATGAGAAGTGAAGGGGCCCCAAACACTGTTGGTCCAACCCCTTTGACAGCTGGCTAAGGCAAGGACCAGATGTCCTCTGAGTCCCAGGTCTCCAACAACTCATTGCTGAAACAGCACCCACCATGTTAGAATGAATTTACATTGGATTTGTCTGGGTCATAAAATGATCAATGTCTATTATGACAACGTCACATGATCAGTAAGTCACCAGGAATGTTATGGAATGTACTTTCCTCTCAGCCAGAACTGGTCACCAGGGCAGCTGCTGAGCAGAAGCAACAAAGCTTCCCTCCCTTACAGGGGAGGCACCTGGGACCCACACACCAATCTGCTCCATCCTGACCCTCAGATAAGGTGCAACCATGTCCCTGTGTCACGCAGTGGAATGCTCTAAGACCGCATGGGGGTTGGGGGGAGATAAGCAAGGTATTTGCAATGGTGATGCAGAAAAAAATCTCTCTCCGGGCAAAGCAGGAGTTATGATGTATGATTTCCTGTTTTTAAAGGGAAGTGTTTTCACTGAGAACCCTTTCCTTCACCTAAAATCAGTAAACCCCAAAATCGGCCGGGCGCGGTGGCTCAAGCCTGTAATCCCAGCACTTTGGGAGGCCGAGACGGGCGGATCATGAGGTCAGGAGATCGAGACCATCCTGGCCAATACGGTGAAACCCCGTCTCTACTAAAAAATACAAAAAACTAGCCGGGCGAAGTGGCGGATGCCTGTAGTCCCAGCTCCCCGGGAGGCTGAGGCAGGAGAATGGCGTGAACCCGAGAGGAGGAGCTTGCAGTGAGCTGAGATCCGGCCACTGCACTCCAGCCTGGGTGATAGAGCAAGACTCCGTCTCAAAAAAAAAAAAAAAAAAAAAACCCCAAAATCTTGCTGAAACTGGGGTATCTAAGCTGCTGGACTACCATCTGCCATTCTAGGAGGAAGAACAGGGGACAGCAAGGACCTATGTCTTATTCGGACCTGGACACAGGAGATGCCTGGTGCAGGGTGCTGCCCTGGACGAGAAGAGGATGAAGCCCTGAGTTCCCACGCCTCTCCGTTCCTACTTAACCTCTTGGCCTGGCGTTCCCCATCTATTGCAGGGTAAGAGTACCCAAATACTGGTTTATTATTGGTAAGATTCCAATGAGCCAATGAAGACGAACCTGGTTATCAACTACAACGTGTTGGGCTAAGGACTGCCACTATCACTATTATTCTTCAAGGCAGAACACGCTTGTCATAATTTTTTAAGCACCACGGTTTTCAGAGGATAATCACAGAACATTTGGGTCTCTCTCTCTCTTTCTTTGACGGAGTCTTGCTCTGTCGCCCACACTGGAATCCAGTGGTACGATCTCGGCTCGCCACAACCTCCACCTCCCAAGTTCAAGTGATTCTACTGCCTCGGCCTCCCAAGTAGCTGGGATTACAGGCATGCACCACCACACCCAGCTACTTTTTGTATTTTTATTAGAGACAGGGTTTACCATATTGGCCATGCTGGTCTCGAACTCCTGACCTTGTGATCTGCCCGCCTTGTCCTCCCAAAGTGCTGGGATTACAGGCATGAGCCACTGCGCCCAGCCGGAACACTTGGATTGCTATCTCCAGGTACAAAGTGATTTTACAGGAGTCCCATCTCAATGGACAGTTAAGATGACTAGATGTACTAAAACTGCTTTTTATCCCAGTAAAACCAGATCAAAATTGTCATCTAGATATCCAAGTTTCAAGGATAAAAAAATATCACCCCCTAAAATACACCAATGAGATAATGATGTTTATCCATAAAACTCAAGCCATCCTGTCTTCAAAGTCTCAAACCAGTAACTGCTGTCTTCGTAAACTGAGAAAGCAAGGACTCCTCCCTCCACCCCTTCAGTGGTCATTTCACAAAGGGCCCATCTGGGGATCAGCAGTGCCTTTAGTAAACACGCCAGTGATATCCCTGGGTATCCCAGAAGACTCTGCAAGCACCTGTGAGGGAGAATGAATGAATAAACACAAAAGAGAGAAAGAGGTTGGGGAGAAGCAATAAAAAGAGGAGGATGTAAGTAAGAAGAGAGGCAGGGATGGGGTGGGGCCATACGCTGGGGAGGGGCCAAATGCCACACTGGTAGCCTCCCAGGCCACCCAGCGGCCCCCCAAGCCCAGCCTGCAGGGCTCAGCATACACGGCACATATCAAAGACAACCCCAGCCAGGGGGCCGAGAACACAAGCCCCTAACAGCTGGCTCAGTGGAAGGAGCTCTGTCCCTGCCTGTGTCCTTGGGTCCAATTGCCGTCCTCAGGACTTGGCTTCGCTTCTGGGTCTGAATGCTGCAGGTGACCTGAGCCGCTGCCCACTCCCTGCAAACATGCACTCCCCGAGCCCTCCACGTCCCTCCCCACGGTTGTACTGACCTGGCCCCAGGTTGTGCGGAGCCAGGACAATCAGCGAATCCCCTCTGTGCCTGCAGGCGCAAAGGGGGCTCCCTAACTCTGGTCACCCCCCATGGACGGACCACCTCTCCCTGACTCCACCCGGCTGCACAGCCTGCTCTGTGAAAGAGCAAAGAATCCCCCCAGGAAATGTACATAGCTCCTTTTATAGTCATGTGAACACTTCCTGGATTTACTTTTTCCCATTGCTGTGGCATACTTTTCACCTTTCCTGTGAGAATCCACCAGGGGTGCACAGCCCAACATCCCCCTCATCTCCTGCCAAAACACAATGCGGAGAAGGTTCCAGAAGCTGCTTTGCTACACACAAATGCTCTTTCAGAGGCTTCCACAGACAGAAAATATGTTTCCATGTATTTTTCACAATATGAATTAAAATTCGAAAAGAAGCAAGTCAGCTTCACAGTAGTATTGGACATTCTTTGTCACTGTTTCCTAAAATTGATAAACAAACAAGGCACCAACTCTCCTTCCTGGGACACAGCTCAACACTCATTTCTACTACCACGGTCACGCTACCGCAGCCCTGCTGCATAAGGCTCAGTTGCATCCATGTGAATTTTCTCCCAGAAGTTTCAAATACTTGGGAAGTACCAGCAGCATGTTAGCAAGCAGCTTGTTTTTTGAGATGGAGTCTCACTGTCTCACCCAGGCTGGAGTGCAATGGTGTGATCTCGGCTCACTGCAACCTCCGCCGCTTGGGTTCAAGCGATTCTCCTGCCTCAGCCTCTGGAGTAGCTGGGATTAAAAGTGCATACCACCACGCCTGGCTAATTTTTTTTTTTTTTTTTTTTTTGTATTTTAGTAGAGACGGGGTTTTATTGTGTTGGCCAGGCTGGTCTCAAACTTCTGAGCTCAGGCAATCCATCTGCCTCGGCCTCCCACAGTGCTAGGATTACAGGTGTGAGCCACTGCACCCAGCTACAAGCAGCTTCTTTTTAAAAAAAATTAACCAGCCGGGCATGCTGGCTCACTCTTGTAATCCCAGCACTTTGGGAGGCCAAGGTGGGCAGATCACCTGAGGTCGGGAGTTCAAGACCAGCCTGGCCAACATGGAGAAACCCCGTTTCTACTAAAAATGCAAAATTAGCCAGGCATGGTGGTGCATGCCTGTAATCCCAGTTACTTGGGAGGCTAAGGCAGAAGAATCGCTTGAACCTGGGAGGCGGAGGTTGCGATGAGGTGAGATCGCGCCATTGCACTCCAGTCTGGGCAACAAGAGCAAAACTCCATCTCAAAAAAAAAAAAACAAAAAAAGTTTTGATACTTTAAAAAAGAGAGAGACAGGTACTTGTACAGCTAATCAAAAAACAAATGGGCCAGGCACAGTAGGTCATGCCTACAATCCCAGCACTTTGGGAGGTCGAGGTGGGGGAATCACTTGAGGTCAGGAGTTCAAGACCAGCCTAGGGAACATAGTAAGATCCTTTCTCTACAAAAAATAAAAAAAAAATAAAAAAATAAAAAAAGCCGGGAATGGTGATAAACATCTGTAGTCCCAGCTACTCAGGAGGCTGAGGTAGGAGGCTCGTTTGAGCCCCAGAGGCTGCACTGAGCTATGATTTCACCACTACATTCCTGCCTGGGTGAGACAACGAGATGAGAACCTGTCTCTAAAAATAAATAAATAGGCCAGGCATGGTGGCTCATGCCTGTAGATTCAGCACTTTGGGAGGCCAAAGTGGGTGGATCACCTTAGGTCAGGAGTTCGAGACCAGCTTGACCAACAAGGTGAAACCCATCTCTATTAAACATAAAAAATTAGCTGGGCGTGGTGGCGTGTGCCTGTAATCCCAGCTATTTGGGAGGCTGAGGCAGGAAAATTGCTTGAACCCGGGAGTTGGAGGTTGCAGTGAGCTGAGACTGTGCCATTGCACTCCAGCCTGGGCAACATGAGTGAAACTCTGTCTCAAACAAACAAACAAATAAATAAATAGTATGAATAACAACAGGCATCGGCACATAGCCTGTGAGTAATTCCTGCCTTGAACTGGCCTCCTTCCTTCCCTAAGAAAACCATCCTGTTATTCCTTGGGAACTCATAGGACCTGTGACTGGGGCAAGAAAGAAACTGAGGCAGGGGCTGCCTGACTCTCCGAGCCCCTCAGCAGATCATGGTAGAGGTCATGACCTCTCCATGTGACATCACACGGATTGCCACTAGCAACAAGCTGCATGAATTTCCCGCTCTATAAGTAAACAGAGAGAAAAAAATCCTCGCTGTATGTGAGGATAGCCCTAGGAGGGGGAAGTCTTGTAAAAGTCAAAAAAGGCTGTGACTTATGTGACTTCACTGCACACATCCAGCTGGACTTCTCACCCATCTCAGCGGGAGGGCTGTCTTGAGACAGTTGAAACAGCGAAAGGGTTTGGAAACGGTAAGCTATTTCAGGTAACACTTGACGTTGCCAAACCAGCGATAGCAGCACTTCAGACTGTCACTTTTTATAATGTTTGCCTATAAACTTTTCCCGTGTGGTTTTTGAAATGGCGCCCAAATGCAAACAGAGAACAGATGGGAAACCTGAGTCTTGCCCCGTCCAATCACTTCATAGAGAACGGATGACAGATTTAAACTGTTAAGGAAGAAAAAAGCAGTTTCTACCAACGGCATAGCTCACACTCCATTACTTTTCACAAATTAAGCCTTTTCCGGGGTTTTCCACGGATGGTGTCTTTTCCGACGTCTAGATCATCCTAGTTCCAAGGATGTGGTGGGGTCGCCCTGGAACACATCCCGCTGAGGTTTCTCCCTCCTCCAAAGTCAGAGGTGTGCAATCCCTAAACCCATTCCTCCAGGAAGAAGAAAGGGAGACAGAGAGAAATCCCTGAACAGACTCCTCTGGAAGAGAGAGAAGGAAGAAAGAGAAGGAGAGGGAGGAAAAGGAGAAGAGAGATGGAGAGAAGGAAAAGGAAGGGAGAGAAACGGAGGGCGGGAGAGGAAAGAAGAGGAAGGGAAGAGGAAGAAAGAGAGGGGAAGGGGAGAGGAGAAAGAGGGAGGGGGCAGAGAGATGAGGCAGGTTAGGAGCACACCGCCAGGAGGCATGTCCTGTCAGGGTTGTGGGCTGCAGGAAGAAACCCGTTCTTACCTAGAAGCACAGCTGGGACTCCCACAAGCACTGTAACAGGAGTGCTGGGGGAAGGGTAGTAAAACGGCCTTGGGTTCCTGGTGCCCTCCCACACCTCCTGCCACCTTGTACTGGATAAATGTCATGGCTGTAGAGCTGCCAGAGTCTCTACAGAGGAAACAGAGTCCGGCTACAAATGTTGCTATATAGTCACCGCACACAAAGCACATGACAAGTAAGTGGCCGCCACCGTCCTCCCTGTTCCAGTAGCCCCCACTGGCCCTCTTAGTCTGGAAGATGTCCTATAGTGGCCACGCCCTGTCCCAGTAAGAAGTCTTAACTGGTGAATACCCAATTCTCTGTCCATAGGAACAGAGGAGAGATTTCTGCAAGATAGGAATTCTGGAAGAGCCCAGCCCCCTCTTTCCTACGGCACAATCTGGGTCTTGCTGGCATCAGAACTCATCAGCAGAAAGAAATAAAGGAAATGGAGGCCAGGCACGGTGGCTCATGTCTGTAATCCCAGCACTTTGGGAGGCCCAAGCAGGCAGATCACTTGAGGTCAGGAGTTCAAGACCGGCCAGGCCAACATGATGAAACCCCGTCTCCACTCAAAACACAAAAATTGGCCGGGCATGGTGGTGCCTGCCTGTAGTCCCAGCTACTCAGGAAGCTGAGGCAGGAGAATAGCTTGAACCCAGGAGGCGGGGGTTGCAGTGAGCCCAGATCACAGCACTGCACTCCAGCCTGGGTGAGAGAACTAGACTCCATCTCAAAAAAAAAAAAAAAATTAAAATTAAAATCAAAATTAAAAAATAAAGGCAATGGAGTCCCACCAATGAAATCAGAACCAACCACCTTTGCATGTCCTGCCATGAGGGCCGTGCACACAGCAACAAACACGGCCCTGCTGCAGCCCAGACATCCTCAAAGCCTCCCCTCTACATGAACCGACTTGCAAGAAGACCAAATTCCTCACATCAAACAGAGACCTTATAAGGCATAGGTACTACGTGTTCTTTAAGGGGGCAAGGAAGGGACAAATACTCCGCACAATATAAAGATGAAAGTTCTCTACCTCGAGAAATACTGCCAACATAAAAATGGAGAACAAAAAGAAGTCAAAGCAACAAATAACAGATAAGTAGGCAGGCTGAAAGGGTGCAGTCCTCTCTTTCTAACCAGTTGTCAGGTGTCTGGTAGACACGAGTCGGGATTCTCCCTGGTCGCTAACAACAGCTAACAGCCGCCTCTGCAGCAGTAGCTGGATTTCTCCAGAAACTCCAGACTGGCTCACATTCCTGGTGATCAGATGGGATCATGGCTAATGTTTCCAATATGGTAACCATTAAAAATTATATATTTAGGCACACCCCTCACATCATTTAAGTCTGCCTTTGAGAAACATGCTGGATGGCTCTTCATGTTTGAAAGAAATTATGTTGCTGCCCATGAGAAAATAAAAATGCACACAGAGTAAAGAGTCTGAGAATGTACTCCCTGAAGAGTGAGTCACCCGTGTCTCCCAATGTCCCCACCCAAAGCGGAAGTCCGCACTCCCTGTTTTGTCAGTATCCCTCTCGCTTTTGATCTGATGTTTTCAGCTGTTCATGACAGTTTTCTCCAAAAAGAGATGCACAGACGGAAGGTTTTCTCCCTGGTCCCAATACGTGTATTAAACTCATATTTCACGAGCGAAAAATTTCCAACGGACCACTAAGACGCAGGCATTGAATCAGTACTGTGTGCATAAACTCCCAGATATAGGCAGCTTTGCTTGTGCAAGAACTTCAAAACTGAGTCCTGGCCGAGCGTGGTGGCTCACACCTGTAATCCCAGCACTTTGGCAGGCCCCGGCAGGTGGATCACCTGAGGTCAGGAGTTCAAGACCAGACTGGCCAACATGGTGAAACTCCATCTCTACTAAAAATACAAAAATTAGCTGGGTGTGGTGGTGGGTGCCTGTAATCCCAGCTACTCAGGAGGCTGAGGCAGGAGAATCACTTGAACCCGGCAGGTGGAGGTTGCAGTGAGCTGAGATTGTGCCACTGCACTCCAACCTGGGTGACAGAGCGAGACTTTGTCTCAAAAAAAATAAAAATAAAAATAATATGGCCGGGCGCGGTGGCTCAAGCCTGTAATCCCAGCACTTTGGGAGGCCGAGACGGGCGGATCACGAGGTCGGGAGATCGAGACCATCCTGGCTAACACGGTGAAACCCCGTCTCTACTAAAAAAATACAAAAAACTAGCCGGGCGAGGTGGCGGGCGCCTGTAGTCCCAGCTACTCGGGAGGCTGAGGCAGGAGAATGGCGTGAACCCGGGAGGCGGAGCTTGCAGTGAGCCAAGATCCGGCCACTGCACTCCAGCCTGGGCGACAGAGCGAGACTCCGTCTCAAAAAATAATAATAATAATAATAATTTAAAAAAATAAAAGGTCGGGTGCAGTGGCTCAAACCTGTAATCCCAGCACTTTGGGAGGCCGAGGAGGGTGGATTACCTGAGGTCAGGAGTTCGAGACCAGCCTGACCAACATAGAGAAACCCCGTCTCTACTAAAAATACAAAATTAGCCGGGTGTGGTGGCGGGTGCCTGTAATCCCAGCTACTAGGGAGGGGGAGGCAGGAGAATTGCTTGAACCTGGGAGGCAGAGGTTGCGGTGAGCCGAGATCACGCCACTGCACTCCAGCCTGGGCAACAAGAGCAAAACGCAGTCTCAATAAATAAATAAATAAATAATAAATTGAGTCTTTTGTTCAGAAAGCATTTTCCAAAGCGACCAGCCATTAGATCATATAGCACCCAGGAAATAGATACTTGTGCTACAAAGTTATGTTGAAGCCCTGCGTGCCCCAGCTTGGATGTACAATGAGGAGTCTGTGTGCCTGGCTGCCTGGCCAGCCCAGCCTGAGCCTCCTACCTTCTGAAAATACACTTGCTGGACGCAGCAGAGAAAGCTGGGACACCTTCAGCCCTTCAGGGCTTCCTGGAGCGCACTATCCTAGGGAAAACCCTTTCATCAAAAGGCATGTGGGGGGCTCACAAGGAGGTGAAGGAGTGAATAGGATGTGCCTGGCCTTTGATGACACAATCTTAGGGTGAAGAGTGGCCCTACAGAGATGTCACTCTGTAAAATGAATGCATTGTGATCTCCAGTCCTGAAACTGAACCCTCCGGTCCTAAAACGCTTCCATCCCCTGAGTCCTAATGACAGTGCTCAGGCAGGGGCAGCTCTCTTCATCTTACAAAGTAGTAAAGCACCTGTCTTAACAGACAGCTATACCCCAAGCCTCTCATGGTCCCTTAGCATTAAGGCTGTGGCCTCATTTTTGTCCCTTCTCTGGTGACTCTTCAGAAAAGGCTGGGGGTGTTAAAGGTACAGACCAAGGCCGGGCATGGTGGCTCATGCCTGTAATCCCAGAACTTTGGGAAGCCGAGGCAGGTGGATCATTTGAGGTCAGGAGTTCGAGACCAGCCTGGCCAACATGGTTCTGAAACCCCATCTCTACTAAAAAATATAAAAATGATCTGGGCACGGTGGCAGGCGCCTATAGTCCCAGCTACTCGGGAGGCTGAGGCTGGAGAATATCGCTTGAACCCAGGAGGCGCAAGTTGCAGTGAGCCGAGATCACGCCACTGCACTCCAGCCTGGATGACAGGGCAAGACTTCATCTCAAAAAGAAAAAAAAAAAAAAAAAAATATATATATATATATATATATATACACATATATAAAGAGAGAGAGAGACCAAACAGACCTGTCACTGACACTGAGACTCTGCTATTTACAAATCGTGTGACCTTGAGGCACGTCCTCGGAGCAGGAACAATAATAAATGAGATAGGACACAGAAGGCACCCGGCACAATGCCTGGCACTTACACATCCGCCATCAGAAAGACCTTCCGGCTGAAATCCTCACTCCTCCGCTAAGCAGGAAAAAAAGCAAAGCTGCCTAGCCAGGTCTTCTCAGTGTGGAAGCTCAGAAAGTGAGAGAGGAGGGGGCAGGGCTCCTGTTCTATTTCTCAATCCGTAACACAGAGTTGAGGGTTAATTACCTTCAGTTAGCATTCTGCTTCCTGCTGGTGCGTGCACGTGTGTATGTGTTCCTACGGACAGGAACATGTCAAGGAGCTCTTCTCGCCTTTCTAAGAAACTTCTCCTTCCCTACCACCTCTCCTGTATCCATGGATATGCCTAGAATTCCACCTCTGGTTCTTCTGGTCCTTTCCCTGCATTCCAGTCTCCTGGGCACCTGTGGCTTTTCCCACCTCCTCCCCGCAGATGCCACTCAAGTCCCTGCTTGTAGGTTCATATTTCCACCTGCCCAAGGGGAGGAAACACATACCCTGGATGTCTGCAGAGGTCGTATCCAAAACAAGCAAGTGACCTTCAACCTCCTCCTCCTCCACCAGCCTCTTCTCTTACACGATGAAGGGAGTCATACCACTGAACTGCCACCCAAGCTCCAAGTCAGCCCTGAAGCCCCTCTTTTCCTCTGGCCCCTCCTCTGATCAGTCCCGACAACCCTTCACCTATTAAGCCTATCCCTGATAGAAAGCTTAGCTCTGAAAGAAAGTACGAGCAAAAAACTCCATCCCACAGGCCTCCTCCAGCCCTCCACAAGACCTCTGCAATGCGCCTAACTCATCACCCATGGTGCGCCCCTTGTAGCCACTACAGACCCCCAGAGAAATCTTCTGAAAAGCACATGATCTCTACTTTTTAAAAAAGGCACAGACCACTCCAAAGTCAGAGAGAATAAAACCCAAAGAACATCACACGCATTGAGGCTTGGTTGCTCCAAGCCCCATAACCCCCTCTCTCTGACACTCTGGCTTGCCTGTCCACGTGGTGGGTACTCTTCCCTCTACCTACGAGCCCAGCCTGCTATGCTGCCTGGCAGGCCCCTATTCAGCTCAGTTCCCATAGCCCCTCTGTGAAAATCCCGATTCCCATTAAGACACTGCACTGCTCCCATCTCATCCTTTTCATCCTCTAGCACATGCACAGCCAAAGACAATCTGCGTCCCCAACCCATTCCACCCAAAAGATGTACGGAGAGGGACTGGAGCAGGGATCAACGCAACATTTCTCAGACTTTACTGTGCATAAAACCATGTGGCCAATTTAAGACAGCTTCCTCACTCCCACTTCCAAAGATTCTGGGTCGGCCAGGCGCTGTGGCTCACACCTGTAATCCCAGCACTTTGGGAGGCCGAGACGAGTGGGTCTCTTGAGGCCAGGAGTTAGAGACCAGCCTGGCCAACGTGGTGAAACTCTGTCTCTACTAAAAATGCAAAAATTAGCCAGGCCTGGTGGCGGGAGCCTATAATCCCAGCTACTCGGGAGGCTGAGGCAAGAGAATCACTCGAACTTCAGAGGCAGAGGTTGCAGTGAGCTGAGATTGTGCCATTGCACTCCAGCCTGGGAAACAAGAACAAAACTCCGTCTCAAAAGGAAAAAAACAAAACAAAACAAAACAAAATATTCCGGGTCAGTAGGCTTGGGGGTGGGGACTGACATTCTTTATTTCCCACAGGTGAGGCCTGATCCTGCTGGTCCAAGACCCACACTACAAGAAGTTCAGCTCCAGTGTCCAGGGATGAGAGTTTGAGACCTGCCTCTGCCGGTAGTGAACGTGTTGGCTTGGACAGCCTCACATCGCTGAGCCTCAGAGTCACGCTTTAGAAAAGAGAAAAACATCTCCAGGGGTGCCTGCTGCAGGGCAAGGTCACCACAAGGGCACAGTCAAAGGCTGCCCAGGAAGGCCTCTGTATACTTAAAGAGAGGGGCACGTCTGACAGCGAGCACTCCTCGTCCTGGCGGGTGTGGGGTCGGCGGCGGGGGGGTCCCCATCCTGCAACTCAGCCCTGGCCAGGAGGGCACTCCTGGGTTCCTGTTTACCGGGCATAGCTGATACTAACTGGCCGGCAGATTGCTTTTTGCAACCATGTGAGCACCTCCATTCGCATTCCTCTGACTTCAAAACAGCTTTTCTTTCAAGTAAACAAGTAGGTCTCATCATATATAGGTTACCTAAGTGAGGATTTCTGGAATGTTCCTAAATGAGACTAAACATCTGAAGATTTTGTGAGATTCATCATTATAAACACCCATGTATGATGCCTGTTTAATTTACAAAGAGGCCTGTGGCTTCTTAAAATACCTTCTACTATTCATCTATCCAACACATCTGAGAGTAGCTGATATTTGTATGTGGGGCACAGTAACACACCACAGAACTCCCTTGAGATGAGAACCCCAGCAGGGCTCAGGAGCCAGCCCCACAGCATGCCGGGAATAACCCTGCCAACACCAAACCATGGGCAAGAGTCCCCACAGCTGTGCCTCAGGCAGTCCACAGAGCAAAGGGCCTGCATTACTGCGAGCTGGGACGGCTGGCCTGCATTCCAGAGAGCATACCCTAAAGCCTGACTGCATTCCAGGAGCAGCTTTGCAGGGACAGTCACCTTGCCACACTTACTGTTACCTGTGGCTCCTAGAAGCTGCTGCTGGGACAAGCTCACCTCCCTGATATTGATGTAGACATTCAATAAATGGTGCATACTCCAGCGGATACATTTGCCCCGTATGGGCCCTGAAAGGTCAGATCGATGTCCAAATCCCGTTTGACATTTTCCCCAAGCAGGCCCTCCCACACTAAGCACTTTCTGAATAAAGAAATACTTTTAAAGTGGCCAAGGCTACAAAAGAAAAGGGAAGGTTAAGAGTTATTCAAGAGGGCAAGGCTGCCTCCTGCTTTCTCAACTCAGAGCCTTCTGGGGGTACTGTTCGGCAAGTTGATTTAAAGGGCTGGGCCTTTCTTCGCTCAGCAGGACCTGGTTCCAACACTCCTTCAGAGGCTGCAGATGTGTCCCTGGCCTGATCCCCTCAGCAGCATCCCAGCCATTTGCAAATGAAGCGGCAGCAGCTGGAGACTGGGAAACAGATGGTCTTCCTCATTTGAATGGGTTTGATCGGGCTGCTTGAGGCTCAGCAAGTTCAGGCCTGGCCAGCATCGAAATCCGTGCGGAGGCCTGAAGGCACAGAGTTGTGGCCCGGGGAACCGGCAGCAAGCAACTGAATGGGAATGACCTGGTGGACGGGTTCCCCATGCTGCCTTCGGGTGGACGGGACACGATCCCAGCTGGTTTTGCACCGCAGGACCCAAGGAAGGCAGGTCGGAGCCACAGGGATCACTTTTCTCCTGTGTTTTGCAGAGGAAAGAAAAACTCTCCCTCGGGGAATCCTGAGCCGGAGGACCGAAACCCACATTAACTCAGGACATTCCACGTTAAGCGCGGGCGCCACCACAGTTCACCTTTCTTCCCTGCTCCAAACCGCATACTTGCATAGAGGTAAAAGCTTCAAGAAAACAAACAAACAAACTTTGAAGAGTCACTACTTCTCACAACCCTCCAAAGCAGCATTCGGAGGGAAGCTTTAGATCTCAGAAGGGCTGTGCACGGCTCCCACGAACATAGGCTTCCTGGGACAGGGCATCCCCCGGGCAAGGCACCTGGGAGGAGGCAGACTCGCCATCCTGCCCACACCTGACCTGACTCCCCTGGCCACCCTCCGGCCATCTCTCTGCCTCCACATTGGCCTGGCAAGAAACTCTGCCAATTAGAGGTAGTAACAGAAAAGAGATAGGAAGCAGGCTGAAATGACCCACTTGAGTGGAGGCTGCCGGGATGCCCTTGACCCGCCTCCTCACTCGCCACACCTTCAAGGGCAAGCACCTCGTAAGAGGGGAGAAGGGGGGCCTCTGAGCCCAGCTGCACACATGCACTCAGCAGCCTCTGCTCCGCCTCCATTAACATCAACAGGTGAAGCCAGCAAGGGACAGCAGAGAGGCTAGGCCCTGGACAATCACCTCACTGGACAAGGGGTCAACCTAGCAATGCACCTAGCAGGCCAGGTGGCTGGTACTGATAAGGGTCAGCCTTGCAATGCAGGTGGGTTTGCTGGGGAATCCAGGTGGGTGCCACCTCCTTAAGGGGAAGCCCAGCCTCAGGTGTGGTGGCTAACACGTGTGATCCCAGCGCTCTGGGAGGCCAAGGTGGGAGGATTGCTTGAGCCCAGGAGTTTGAGACCAGGCTGGGCAACAAGTGAGAACCCATCTCTACCAAAAAAAAGAAAAGAAAAAAAAGAAAAATCAGCCTGTGCCTGTAGTCCCAGCTACTCAGAAGGCTGAGGTGGGAAGATCGCTTGAGCCCAGGAGGTCCAGGATGCAATGAGCCGTGATTGCGCCACTGCACTCCAGCCTGGGCGACAAAGCGAGACCCAGTATTAAAAAAAAAGAAAGAAAGAAAAAAGAAAAAAAGCAGCAGCAGCAGCAGCTTTCTAGTCCCAGTCCCTGGAAACTCCTAAACATGGGGCACATGCCTCCGGCCCATGATTTTCCTTCACAGGATCTTCGCCTTTGATTGGATCTAGCCCTTCATTTTTTATTTTTGTTTATTTATTTTTATTTTATTTTATTTTATTTTTATTTTTATTTTTTTTTTTTGAGATGGAGACTCACGCTGTCGCCCAGGCTGGAGTGCAGTGGCCGGATCTCAGCTCACTGCAACCTCTGCCTCCCGGATTCAAACAATTCTCCTGCCTCAGCCCTCCCAAGTACCTGGGACTATAGGCGCCTGCCACCACGCCCGGCTAGTTTTTGTATTTTTAGTAAAGACCAGGTTTCACCATGTTGGCCAGGCTAGTCTCGAACTCCTGACCTCATGATCCACCCACCTCAGCCCCCTAAAGTGCTGGGATTACAGGCTTGAGTCACCGGCGCCTGGCCCTAGCCCTTCATTTTTGCAATTATTTGACAAGAGCCTGTCTCCCCCACTCAACTGTTTATTGCTTGCTATTCTATCCCCACAGAATCTGGCACATAGTAGGTCTCAAAAATTATTTGGGGAACAAATGGATGAAAAAACTCAAAGAAACCACAGCAATTACCCTGCAATCTAAAAATCATGTTTATACCATCTTGCCTCTGCCAAGCTCTGAAAGTTGTCATCGCATGGGGAGTTGCAAATTTAAGAGGGAAATTTGTAGCATCTCCTAGTCAAGAACTCTACAGCCAGGCATGGTGGTTCACACCTGTAATCCCAGCACTTTGGGAGGCTGAGGTAGGTGGATCACCTGAAGTCAAGAGTTCAAGACCAGCCTGACCAACATGGTGAAACCCCGTCTCTACTAAAAATACAATTAGCCGGGTGTGGTGGTGCACATCTGTAATCCCAGCTACTCTAGACGCTGGGGCAGGAGAATCGCTTGAACCCACGAAGCAGAGGTTGCAGTGAACCAAGATCGCGCCACTGCACTCCAGCCTGGGTGACAGAGCAAGAGACTCTGTCTCATAAAAGAAAAAAAAAAAAGGAATTCTACAACTTTCCTCCAAAACTCAACTCCCACTTTGAAACGCCTGGGACCCTGAGTGTTCTGCAATCGCTGTACAAGTAGCCAAGAACAAAGTTCAGCTGGCTAAACCAGCCTTGATTCACCTCCACATTAGCTGGTACGGGGGTTCACTTTTTATTTTTAATACCAAACTGATCTTTGCTTGCTTTAAAAATGGGCTCCATTTCCTGGCCTCTTTTTTTCCCCTAAGGACATCCTTCCTGGCCAAGACTGGAGAAAGAGTAGGTATTTCTGCTTTTGGCCTTTTCATTCTTGGAATTTTTTCTTTTTTGGCTTTCTTAGTCTCTGCTCCTAATCTCTGCAGAAAAGTGACATTAGAAGTGTGGGGGAGGCCTTGGTGCTTGTTTCCATGACCACAGGTTGTGGGAGTTCCGGGTACAGGGGTCTGTCTATGCAGGTAGGCCTTGACTTCCTACCCAATCGTAAACCAGAAATTCTGGGAAGAAAAGCTTGACATAATATCAGTGGCAATAGCTGAGGGTTAGCAGGCACTGGGACAAACCAGCAGAGACATCCAGGACAAGGAATAACGGGACGGCCTGCTCTGCTGAGATGGGTCACGCGTCAATGGGCAACACAGGCCAGCCCTTCTTGTTCTGGACTCCTACGGTGTGGCGCAGCCTGGACCACCAACTGGGACCCAGTCTCCCATTGGTCTCCTTGGCAGCAGTCAGGGTTCACCTCTTTCCAATAAGCCACATGCCACCAGAAGCCATTCTAGAAGAATCACAAAGTATAATTATTAAACATTTTTATTGCCTGGAATTTTTCTTCAAATGACTATAGGAGAATTCGGTATGGATGTGTGAGAAGGAAACAGAATCAATCAGCGGTGTCCCTAACAGGTTTAACAGTCAAATGACAGATTTAGGAAAGAATGAGGGGTCACCACATTCTCCAGCAAAAAAAAAAACAAACCCTCCTGCTCAGGAAGGAGAAGGGAAATTTTTCTTACACCAACACATTCACCCAAAGACCTGGGCCCACACTCACTAACGATGAGGTCCTGGAGGAGTCACTTGATCCCCAAGAATTTCAGTTACCTTGTCCATAAAATGAGAACAGGAATACCCAAGATGTTCTGGGTTATTAAGATGGGAGATAATATATGTTAAAGTACCTAGCACAGAGTCCAACCATGACAGGCAGTCAATAAATGGTAGCCAGTTATCATCACCACCATCATCATCATCTCAAGGAATGGGCTAAAGAAACACGACCTCATCCATACTGCCCCCACTTCATAGTCTGTGCTACCAAGTAACCTCCATAGGGGTATCACGTGCAAATGCTTGTTCAGCTCCTGTCCGCTTCAGTACTTTGGGTCCCATCACAATTTCCTTAAGCTCCCTTCCATGCTGACGAAAATCTCATCTAGGAGTGTTCAGGAGAGGTCACTACAGGTAAACATGGCAAGGATGACCATAACATGTTATGGCGCTCCCCTCTCCAGCCTGGCCAAAAGCAGAACATACCACACCGCACCCCACCCCAACCGATCCCATAACCCCTCTCCATCCCATACCCCACCCCAACCAATCCCATAACCCCTTCTCCACACCGCACCCCACCCCAACCAATCCCATACCCCTTTCCATCCCATACCCCACCCCAACCGATCCCATAACCCCTCTCCATCCCATTCCCCACCCCAACCGATCCCATAACCCCTCTCCATCCCATACCCCACCCCAACCGATCCCATAACCCCTCTCCATCCCATTCCCCACCCCAACCAATCCCATAACCCCTCTCCATCCCATTCCCCACCCCAACCGATCCCATAACCCCTCTCCATCCCATACCCCACCCCAACTGATCCCATAACCCCTCTCCATCCCATACCCCACCCCAACCGATCCCATAACCCCTCTCCATCCCATACCCCACCCCAACCGATCCCATAACCCCTCTCCATCCCATACCCCACCCCAACCGATCCCATAACCCCTCTCCACACCGCACCCCACCCCAACCAATCCCATAAACCCTCTCCACACTGCACCCCACCCCAACCGATCCCATAACCCCTCTCCACACTGCACCGCACCCCAACCGATCCCATAACCCCTCTCCATCCCATACCCCACCCCAACCAATCCCATAAACCCTCTCCACACCGCACCCCACCCCAACCGATCCCATAACCCCTCTCCATCCCGTACCCCACCCCAACCAATCCCATAACCCCTCTCCATCCCGTACCCCACCCCAACCAATCCCATAACCCCTCTCCACACTGCACCCCACCCCAACCGATCCCATAACCCCTCTCCATCCCATACCCCACCCCAACC